CTCATCAAGCGCCTTCATTTTAGATGTGTCTGGGCAGACACGCTTAGGTTAAAAATATATACAGATACATATAATTGGCATTCCACGGTGGAATCTTAAGTTTCTAAACGTCCTTGCCATTACTTCGGCATGATGCATAATTATTGCCAGTGACAGGAAAGTAAACATTCGGATACCCCAAGCAAATTTTCTGCCCAAATTAGATTTTATTCAGTTTTCCACCTCTACAACAGAAATCGTCTTTTCATTTGCAAAATTTGTATACTCTTAAAAATGCATGGAAATGAAAAAGAGTGTTTTCTAGCTGAGGCAAGAAACATCATTACATAAAATGTGTTTCAGAGAGTGTAGAAAAACAAAACTGTGATTTCAAATTCACTACACCATTAATTGTTCAAATTTCCAAGACAGGGTCTCATGTAGCCAAGGCCAACCTTTAACTTCCGATATAGTCAAGGGTCACCTAGAACTCCTGACTTTCCTGTCTCTACTTCTCAGGCCCTGGGATTATAGGTGCATACCACCGCACCCCGTTTCTGTTATGTTTGAGATCAAACCCCGGGCTTCACACATGCTAGGCTGGTTCTCTACCAACTGAGTTTCATGCTCAGCCCCTAGAACCCTGAGTTTAGAAAGCTACCTCTGAAATGTTACTTTCTGGATTGTGCAGTCAGCACTTGGGAGGTGGAGGCCAAAGGATCCCAAGTTCAAGGGCATTCTCAGCTACTAGCTACTTCAAGGTCAACCTGGACCATAAAAGACTACGTCTTCAATACAAATAGATAAATCCAGTTCAGGGTTCTAGAAGGGGCAAATGGAAAAGGGAAAGGAGTATATTGGAGAGTAGGGCTGTTCTTATTCTCAGCACCCCTGCGCATGGGCTACAGACTGTGGATCACTTTTATGGTCACGTGAAAAGGCGTTGAAGTTCCAGCAACCCCACAGCTGTCTTTGATCTAAACTGAGCATCGATTCATTTCCTAAGCTTTGTCCTGGGTTAGATAAGGGTGTCCCCTCCCAAATGGTATTGAAACTCAACCCTCATCGCAGCAGTGCTGGGAGGGGGGACTATTGAAAGGTAACTGGGTCACGAGGGACAGCACCTTCAAGAATAGATCCTGGATCTTTCTAAAAGGACCCGTGGAAACTGGGGGACAGCTTAGTCACTGAAGTATTTGTTTGAAACATGAGGACTTGCAGTTGATCCCCAGAACCCATATAAAAATAATCTGGGCACAGTAGTGAGTAGCTGTAATGCCAGTGCTGGGGAGATGGCAGCAGGAGGAGTCTGTGGGCTCACTGGACATCCTGCCACCTTGCTTGGGGAGATCTAGGTCAGTAAGAGACCCTGTCTGAAAGAAACAAAGAGGTGCAGAGCTTGAGGGAGTACAGGAATGACACGTGAGGCTGTCTTTGGGCCCCCACATGCATTCACACCCATCTCCACATAAACACATTACCACAAGTGCACACACATGTTAAATAAATTCCTATTCTTTAGAAATGAACCATTCTCCAGTATTCTATTCCAACATCACAAACGGGCACTGACAGCCTTCCCAAATTGCCTTCCAACACTGCTTGAACACGGGAAGATGAATAGGACAGGCTTTTACTTGAGGAGCTCACAGTCTGTTCTAGTCGGCGAATGTCTTACCTCATGCCACCCCATTTACCAAAGCTAACTCACAAAATCAAATATGAAAACTAAAAGTTTGGCAGAAAACACCAGAGAAAGCCTCTGCATCCTTGGGCTGGTAATCAAACAGTTATTAGGCCATACCACTAAAAGCATGAACCATAAAAGAGAAAAAAGCTAAGGCGGACTTCGCAGACATTAACAGGCGGGCTGTGCGAGCGGCTCAGTGGGGAAGAGGAGCAGCCGAGCAAAGCTTTGAGCGTGGTTCTCTGCTCCACAGTGCGTGGGGACCAGCCTGGGAAACGTGGGAGGTTGTCTGAAGTGCTTACATGGATTGCTTGATGCTAGGGTGACAGTAGAGTTCCTGTGAATTTGGGGAGGAGGCAATGGCAGTGTCCTAAAATGAGGGTGCACAATTTTATAAATTTACTAAAACTCATTTGATTGCATACTGGTCACTGGATTTTTTTGTGACATTTAAATTACACTTCAATAAAGCTATTTAAAAACACACACACACACACACACAAATCTAGGGTCTGGAAGATGTAATCCAGTTGGTAGCATGTTGACCTAGCATGCATGAAGCCCCGAGTCCAATCTGTATTACACAAACTGACAGTACACATCTGTAATGCCAGTACTCAGAAGGCAGAAGCTGAAGGTCAATCTGAAGACACTATCAACTCCAAGGCCAGCCTAGGCCCCATGAAATCTTGTCTCCAAACAAATAAACAAAAATACAAATCTGCCTAGGAAAGCATGATTGAAACACAGCACCCGACAGGAAACAAAGGTTTCCCCGTCTGGCCGCCCTTTTCCTCACGTGGCTGAGAATGACATGTGAAGGAAACTGACCTTTTGTGGAGCTGGAAACCCAGGCCATGCCTGGTGGGTCTTATGCTTTCCGAGCTAAATTGCATGTCCCCTGTGATTACTGAAAACTCGAAATAAACTTACAAATTCTAAGAAAGGCAATCCTGACCTCGCCAGAACAAATAAAAAGGAATGTGAGAAGCCATTCAAACACCTGAACTGCCTGAACAATACAACATGCACTGTGTAATCATTTCAGTCTAGAAACATCTCATCTGGAGCAGCCAGGGCTGGTCGGGTAACCTAGGAAATAACCATCTTCTAAGGCATGAAGGGGTTTACAGGAAAACTTTCTGTCTAGTTCTCCATCTCCACGGAGATGCAAACAAAACAAAATGATTTAATAATCAGCAAGGTAAATTTAGAATAAACACAAACAGCACTGACAGTAACTGCCATCAAATACCACATAACTTTAATGTAACTCGGATATTCCTGCAAGCAGTTTCCTTGGTGATCATTAAGACAAGACAAGACAGGGCAGGCGAGATGGCTCAGCAGGTAAAGGTGCTTGCTGCTAAGGCTGATGACTTGAGTTCGATCCCCAGGATTCACATGGTAGAAGGACAGAATTGACCCTTGAAAGTGCTCTCTGACCTATGTGCGTGTACCATAGTACATGAATACACACACACACACAAATAAAAAAAACAACTGTAATTTTTTAAAAATTAAAAAGAAGAGACAAAGCATTTTTTAAAGATTTATTTATTTTTATCTTATGTGTGTGAGTGTTTTACATGAATGACTGCTGTGTGTGCCTGTGTATCTGAGAAGACCAGAAGAGGGTACCAGATCCCCTGAAACTGGTTGTGAGCTGCCATGTGGGTGCTGGGAACCAAATCCAGGTCCTATGCAAGAGCATCAGGTAATCTTAACTGCTGAGTCTCCTCTCAGTCATGTGGAGTACATTCTTAATCCCAGAATTAGGAAACAGGAAGATCAGGAGTTCAAGGACACTGGTTGCACAGTGAGTCTGAAGTCAGGCTGCAAGTGGGACCCTACCCTAAAGTAAACCTAGGGCTGGGATGGATCTCAGTTGACGGAGTACTTTTCTAGTGTGTACAAAAGCCTAGTTTTGGTCTCCAGAATGCCATGAAGCTGTGCATGGTGACACACACCTACAATCCCAGCATTTAAGAGGGAGAAACAGGAGTATACAGTGTTTAAGGTAATCCTTGGCTACATAGAGCACAAGGCCAGCCTGGGCTACATAAGACACTGTTCTAGAAATATCTAGTAATAGACAAGGCAGATAGTTCAGATCTGGTGCCAAATGCCTGAAGTTCTAGCATTTGGGACGTGGGGGCAGGAGGACTGCTACGAGTTGCAAGTTCAAGGCCAGTCTGGGCTACACTGTGAGTGCTCGTCACAAAAGCAGAGAAGGGCTGGACGGATGATTCAGTTGGCAGAGCAAGGGCTACGCAAGCTGCTGAGCTGTTTGGATCCCCAGCACCCACGTAAGAACCCAGCATGGCGCTGTGTGTATGGCCGCAGAGCTGGAGGACAGACAGGCAGATTTCTGAGGCTTGCTGGCCAGCCAGCCTAGCCAAAAAGGCCAGTTCCAGGGGCAGTAAGAGATCCTGTCTCAAAAAATAAACTAGTGAGACAGTTCAATTGTCTATTTGGCACAACCTAGACTCACACAAGGAGAGACTCAGTGAGGGACTATCTACACTGGATTGGACTGTGGGTGTGCCTGTGTGTGGGTGTGTGTCTTGGCCTGTGGGGTGCCTTGTGGGGGTGTGTGTCTTGGCCTGTGGGGTGCCTTGTGGGGGTGGGTGTCTTGGCCTGTGGGGTGCCTGTGTGGGGGCGGGTGTCTTATGTTAATTGATGTGAGACGAGCCAATCCACCGTGGCTGGATGTGAAGTACTGGAGAAATCAAGCTAATGGGCAGGCAGACTGTACTCAAGAGTTCATTTCCCTTTGCTCTGAATGTGACGTGACTGGCTACTTGAAGTTCTTACCTCAACTTCCCCACAAGGATGGGCTGGAACCTGCAATTTTAAGCTAAAATGAACCCTTTGGTTGGGGCTGGAGAGATGGCTCAGCAGGTAAGAACACTGACTGCGTTTGTAGGTGATCTGAGTTCAAGTCCCAGCACTCACTTGGCAGCTCACAACTGTCTGTAACTCCAGTTCCAGAGGCTCCAACACCCTCACACAGACACACATGCAGACAAAACACAATGTACATATAATAAAAATAAATAAATGAATAAACGTTTTGTCTTCTGAGTTGCTTTCTGTTGGGTATTTTACACAGCAACAGAAATGAAACCAGAAGTGGAGAACGATAGAAGAAGATCACCAAAGTCAACCTCTGTTCATGCATGAGTGGGTGAGTACACCCACCCACCCCGCCCACCACCACACACCAAGCATGCACACATGACTGTTTGACAGTTGGGACTCAGACTTGGACAACCTGACATGGACCAGGTCTGGGGAGATGACCATGATCGCCGGCTTGCACACCCCTTACCTCGATATCCCGATTCAGTTGCTTCACGATAGCAGTTATATTCCTGATATGTTCTTCCAAGAACAGCCTGGCTAAGCGGTCCCCTCCCCCTTTGTTCTGCATCTTCTGCAAACTGCTGACGATGTCGTCTTTGATGCGGAAGGCATGCTCCACCAGGGCTGCCGTGGTTTTCTCATGACAGAGGATCCTGTCTTCCAGCTGCTCCACCAGGCTCACAGAAGAATAGGGTGCCATGGTCAGGGACTGGCTGTGTCGGGGCATGGTCCTCACTCGCCTGTGGAAGGGAACCACAGGATTACAAGTGGCTGGTGGGGAAATGGAAATCTTTCAAGCCCGACTTTAGACTCCCCAAAGAAAGAAATACAAATTGTCTCCATTAACAAATGAGATTCAAGGAAAAGTTTCTACACAAAAGAGCTTTCTTTGGGAGCCAGACAGGAATTTAAGGTGACTATGCCCATGGAATTAAGAGGGCTGTTAGCAGGCTCCGTGGCCCCCAGAAAGCAGGGGGCTTCCCCTTATCCCGTGGCCCCCAGAAAGCAGGAGGCTTCCCCTTATCAGGTATGATAGCCAGAGCAAGCTGACCCCAGAGGTCTGTTGACCTACTGCCTCCCTCTCCCGGTCCCCAAAGCATGAACTCCAGAGTCTCTAGGGGTCAGGCAGTTCCAGAAATGAGGAACAGGCATCTTACAGGAGACAATCACAAGGGCTGGGGACTCTGGAGAGTGAGAATATCCCCTAGGGTGCCATGGTTTTGTTTCACCCATAAAAAGAAATGAGGTCCTTTATAAAATTTATTTGTTTTGAGGGGCTATCCAAATGATACTGCAGGATGAGCTAGGAAAAATCAGACGTGGCTGTGAGATCACCTCACTCTTTAAATGATGGCTCATTTAGCAAGCACTTATGATATGCAGGTTGCGCAATGCCTTTCTGTAAGTCAGTGTTTCCCCACAGGCGTCCAATAAGCAACTCCCGATTTCAAAGGGCTAATGGGAACATTTGCCTCCAGCTCCACAGTGATTTCACTGTTGGCAGGAAACCCAAATCGATTGCAGAGCCACTGTGAAATCTCTGCCTTTGGGGGTCATGGAGTGGTCCACAGGAGCCAGGATGTTAAAATACTTTTCTTGCCCTTAAACAAAATGACCTTTTACAACGTGAGGGTCAGAAGCTCTCTCTATCATAACCCTCACACCCTCTAGCAACCCTTGTGGGATGGGTGGAAAGAAAAAGTATACCTTAGATGCATATTTTCCAGATAGTATACCCTTCCTGGGTGACAAGAGAAGGAAATACAGTGTCCTGTTGGGCCATTTTCTTTTTAATAATTCACATCTGTTGGGGAAAAAATAAGTGCTAAATTATTAAACAGTTTATACCTAGGATATAAAGGACCTCAAACTCTGATTATTTAAGATACCAGGAGGCTCCTAAGTTATGTGGCTACACCAATCAGCTGCAGTTTGTAAATGCTTTTGACTTTACACATGAAATAAAAACCAAGTGCTTCCCAAGAAGGAGGAAAAGGCTTGAAAACCAAAGGCTCCTGACACTAGGGCAGCCAATCCTTATCAGACAGAGCATCAAGGACCATTAAATGGAGTGTTCAGAAGTTTCCTCATTCCCTACCCTCATCTTGAGCTTGAAAACAACTTTCCCAGAAGCAAGACCCTCACCTCACCTCCTGAAATACCAGGCCTAGAACCCAGCCCTTTGCACATGCTAGACAATTGCTCTGCCACCCAGCGACACCTCCAGCCCCCAAAGCAATTTCCTTAATAGATTTATTCAAGCTTGTACTTCTCTGTAGAGATTTTGAATAAGCCACTTTAGTCAATCTGATCTGGTGAGCAATTAAGAACGCTTGTTCTTGTTTCTAAATGAATCAAAAATAAAAAAAGCAATGCATGTGTAATGGAAGCTGATTTGGGGGAGCCTATCTATCCACGAAGAGAATAGCATGGCAATGCTTAATTGAAAAACTTGGTTATAAAAGATAACCATTCATACCAAATCTTACCTCTGCACAGTATTTGGCTGTCGCGATTCATCAGGAAACGGGAGTTTTTCAAAGGTTTTAGAACTTAGGTTTCTCAAGCCCGTGGTTAATTGGCTTAAACAATGAGTGTGGGTACCAAGGCGCTGATGCTGTAATTAGCCCCATTCCGAGGCTGGGTTGAGAAGCATTTCTGACTGACACCATTGTTTTGGCATCGGTTCTCCAGTGTTTTATTTTTAGACTTTCAAAATGTGAACATTTCACTTCCCCAGACAAAGAACTTCAATTTTTAAACAAATTACATTTAAGAGGACAAAAAGTAACTTATGTCAAACAGGCTATGATGTTCAACGAGGTCTTGGGTGAGGAAGAATTTCTACCATTTCAACAAAATAGAATCATAGAACGTGGAAACTTGGACGCATAGAAATACTTACACTTTTGAGGCTACATGACACTTTTATGGGATTTTCATTAATGAAACAGCCCAACTAAAAACTCATTTAGCATCTATTAGAAACCATCCACTCCTGTCTGGCACCCCCGAGTCAGAACTGCCGGCAATTAAGGAATTGTCTTCAACTGTAGAGTTCTTTACTGAGACTATCAGTCCCATTCATTATAAACCAAAGGCCGGATGTAGACTTTGGCCATCCTTTCACTGAGGCTGATGCCACCCACCTGCCTGAGCTACGGAAGCCCCACCCAGACAAACCGTGTGAAAGAGGAGAGGATACACCCTTGACTCCTAGACAGGCTCGCTCAACCCCAACACTTCCATTATCCGGCACAGACTCCACGATATTAGATTCCCTATGGCATAAGTTTATAAAACATTCCAGCATACGCTTGGGGTTGGCGACCTTCCGTGGGTGCTGCAAGAATCTGCTCATCTGTTTAGTCACCTGCTTGGTTGGCACCAGGACTCTTTGCCACAGTAGTGGGAGGGAATCTTTATTTCAGCTGAAGTAGAGGCTGCTAATCAATCACTAGATTAAGTCCCTTCCCAGGCGGTATTTCCAGATCTTCCCATGGTCAACTCCAGTGTGCCTGCCTGATGTTAGCATCTCCCATTAGTTTATGGATCTGCTCTCTGACAAGTGGGTCTATGGTGTAAACAGGAAGGTCAGGGTCCTGCGCTACTCTGATTGTGTCTTAAGTCCCTGAGGTTTGCTTTTATGGGGGTGCATTTTATTTTGAGATGGGGTTTTATCCGTCTTGGAAGCAAACAGTCTTAGCCACTGGGCTATCCCACCAACCCTCTTAACTTCAGGTTTTAGAGATCCTGCAAATTTTCCATTCTTGTGGCCACAGCCCCAATGCCTGCTTGCCCTCCAGCTTCCTATGGTGAGAAGCTGCCCTAACCTGGCTCAGCACAGATGCCTGGGACAGGACACCCAAGAGCAAGAGCAATCTCACCACCATCCTGCCATATGCACAGGCCAACAGTTTCCTGCTCTCCCTCCCTCTCCCATCTGACCCCACAGCCGCCCTTCTTCATATATGACTTGAACAGACCTAAGGCTGCTTTGAGGTTTTTGTTTTGCTTTATTGCTTTTTTTTTTTTGAGACAGCTCTATGTAACCTAAACCAGCCTTGACTTCACTAGGTAGCCAAGCATGACTGTGAACTTCAGATTCCCATGCTTCTACCTCTGAGTAGATGCTAACATCACAGATATTCACCACCATGCCCGGTCTACACAGAACATGGGAATCCAACTTAGAGTCTGTCTCCAGGCAGCATTCTACCAGCTGAGCTACATCCCCCAGTCCCTGTTTGAGGCTACTTTTAAACGTCATGTCCCTCTTCTCTTATCTACCTACCCCCTGTGCTAGATTGCTGGATTTGCCTCTGTGGTGTGAAGGGTCACTATCTGGCTTCTATCTCTCTTGGTGAGGGAAGAAGGGCTGTGCAGCTCAGAACAGGATACCTAATTTTCAGACCAAGGAAAGACCATGAGAAACAGCCATAGCTGTCCAAGACTCCCCAACAGGCCTCAGACAGCAGGATAACACAAGAAATCAGGCCTGGCCTTCTTTATAGGCAGCCGACACAGCTCACCCCAAGATCAGAAGTTTGGAGACCAGGTGAGTCATTCCTGGAAAAGAAATTATCCTAACTCAGCATATTCAAGGATGGAGGTGGCGTTTTGGTTGCAAGGTGGACCCAGGAGAACTAGTGAACCATTTGGACCCTATGTGGTCGGTGAGGCTGTGGATCCTCACACCCAAACGTGCAGTGTTGTTCATACCTGGCCAATGGGCGATGACTTCCCTTCACCACTCCTTGACACTATCCGGATCCTAAAGCACCCCCAGAAACCTCCACTGCCTTGGAAGGGACAATACAAAGACTTAACCACTTTAAATGTTGTGACAGTAATCTTGTTTGCTTCCCTGTTTGCCATAGGCTCTCTCTGTTTAGTCCAGGCTGGCCAATAAATTTGCTATGTAGCCCAGGGTGGCCTCAGAATCTCAATCCTCCAGCCTTGACTGGGCGCTGGAATGACCCGAGTGCAACCCTCCTGCCCTGTTCTATAGTACATTTTTAAAACAGTAGAAAGAAATCTGCGAAAATGCAACCAGTAACATTAAGCGCATTTTCATTCTGTTCTCATTTTCAAAGCACTTTAATAAGCATGTTATTTTCACGATTGCGGAAATTTGAACAAGTACTTCTCAAATAAAACAACAAACTAAGGAGCAGTAGCGAATGTAGAAAGTGTTCACTTTGAGCTGTGAAAACAGACGCAAGCCTCATGCTGGGTTCAAAAGACACCATGGTTCAATTAGAACAAACACGCTGTCGGCTTCACCTCCTCGTTCTCCTGCAGGCACCTGAGTTATGAGACCTGAGCCTGGTGCCTCTGTCCCAGTCACAGCTGTGATCGTGGCCTGGGTTACCTGTTCGTGGGGACTTGGGCATCCGGCACAGACACAGCAGCACGCCACTCAGAGCACACCACCCGCAACACAGGACCCGCAGCATGCCACCCGCAGCACGCCACCCGCAGCACGCCACCCGCAGCACGCCACCCGCAGCACGCCACCCGCAGCTCGCCACCCGGAGCACGCCACCCGGAGCACGCCACCCGCAGCTCGCCACTCGCAGCACGACACCTGCAGCATGCCACTCGGAGCACGCCACCCGCAGCACGCCACCCGCAGCACGCCAACCGGAGCACGCCACCCGCAGCACGCCACCCGCAGCTCGCCACTCGCAGCACGACACCTGCAGCATGCCACTCGGAGCATGCCACCCGGAGCATTTCCAAAGCCCCAATTCCAGGAGATGGGTAACGTGCTTACAGGAGACCCAGGCAGACGTTTCCAGTGAAATGGCTTTGACACACTTGCCAAGGCTTGTTTTATTCCCCTCGACTCTATTACACTCACAACGGGAATGCTGATGCGCTAGACAGGTCAGGGGTGATTTCTATTGGATTCATAGCACTGAGTTTCAGAGGACTGGGGTGTAGCTCGGTTGGTAGCAAGCCTGCCAAGCATGCAGAAGCTCTGGGTCTCACCTCCAGCACAGCATAAGCCCAGTGTGGGAGGACATTTCCAATCCCAGCACTGGAGAGGTGCAGGAAGGGAATCAAGAGTTCAAGGTCATCCTTGACTATACAGAGTTCAAAGCCAGCCTAAGCTACCCAAGACCCTATCTCAAATAAAGGGGTGAGTGGGAGGCCTGGAGAGAAGGATCAGCAGTAAAGAACATTTGTTGCTCACGTAGAAGGCCTAAGTTCAGTTCCCAGCACCCACACAGCAACTCAGAGCCATCCATAACGTCAGTTCCAGGGAATCCAGCCCCTTCTTTTGACCAACTAGATCATGAGCATGACCCACATTACATACACACAGGCAGGCCAAACATCATACGCATTAAATAAAAATTTAAAAATCGGAAATAAGTAAAGTTTAAGGAGTTCTAGGATGCTGAACACATTTCCTGGCTGTCCAGCCAACTCGGTGAGTTGCCGGCCTCTTCGGTCACATGGATTCACAAACAGCCCCCAGAGTGCAAGGAACAGTTTGGTGGCGCTACCTCAGCCCACTCGCCAGGGCTCAGATGATGCCAGTGTTGTGAGGAGAATCCCTGCAAAAACAGATTGGTTTTGTTCTCGTCTACTAATAGCAGTTATTTTGAAATGCTATTTAAATCTCTGTTGTTTATTTGAACCGTTTGTGGATGAGGGGCTTTAGGGCAGCAGGGACCGTGCCCTATAGGAGTCTGTAGCACCTAGGAAGCCAGGCATTCTACCTCTTCACAAATGCTCATAGAGGCTCATCAGCCTTTTCATTTCTCTAACGGGGAAAAGCCCATCTTTTTT